AGCGGCTGAATCTGGACGCCAGTTCCGACTTACATACAGATTCAACTTAAGAACAAACCTACAGTCCCTATCTTGTACGTAATCCGGGGACTGCCTGTACTGTTGTTGCTAGTTTTCTGACCACAAGCTGATTCTGCAGCCCTTTTGCAGGTAAAACTCACAGAAGATAGTGAACAAAATTGCAGCAATGGATCTTGTGTAGCGGCTGAATCTGGACGCCAGTTCCGACTTACATACAGATTCAACTTAAGAACAAACCTACAGTCCCTATCTTGTACGTAATCCGGGGACTGCCTGTACTGTTGTTGCTAGTTTTCTGACCACAAGCTGATTCTGCAGCCCTTTTGCAGGTAAAACTCACAGAAGATAGTGAACAAAATTGCAGCAATGGATCTTGTGTTTCAATGGTAAACTCCAAAAAAATTTAATGGGAATGGGCTGGGTTACAAGACTACAAACTGGAGGTGAGGTAGTACAGACTGATGTGCCTGGTCTCTAAGGGAAGGTGATGACCCTTTTAGTCATACAGCACCCTCTACTGGCTAACCTACTGAGTATTAAAAAATACTAAACCAAAAAGGACAGGATTGAGAAGTACAGTACCTCCCAAACCTTTGAATTCTTTGCTATAACAAGCAAAGTGTGCCATATACTACACAGTTCCTAGGAGTTAATGGAAGAAATATCAATGGTACATCTGCATAGTAAGTGGAAAAAACCCAATAACTTATAGAGGTTTACTGAAGAATGAGTCTGAAAGTCAAAGAATTTGCAACAAATATATCATTCTTTTTTTGAATGAGGAAAAGGCTATTTGCAATGACAGAACAATGAATAAGACAGACCTTCAAGTAACAAATTATAAAATTGGAAGACATACAATATTTTTAAAGTAAAACATTTCAGTATTTGTCTGCTAATAAAACAAACCTATTTTCCCATTATCTATAAACAAGCTTATACTTACAGGTCAGTAATACTTGCTGGGGGTTTGTATTTAAGGATACCAAGAAGGCTCAACATTCGTTTAGCTGTTTGCTCTGGCATCTCCTCTCTAATGTCAACAACATGCTGAAAAACAAACAACAAAAAATAACAACAACAAAATCCTGTATTATCATGCATGGATCAGATTGTTAGCCAAGGAGATCTAAAGGAAGGGACTTTATCTACCCATTACGTGATATACTACAACATGTGATTGACATAAGTGAGATGTCACATAAAGAACACCACTCTACAA